ATGCTTTAGCATCCTTGCATGTGTGTGAGTGTTGCCATGACAACATACTTACCATAAGGCTAGCTGCTTATGTGATATAACTGCTTGAGTGCCTGTGGATGGAGGTTGAATTACCTAAATTGGAATAATGCACGAAAACTATGAGTTTTAAGCCCACTAGATAGTGGCAAAACCATCTTTTCTAAAGCCCACTTGAGGGTGGCAAAATCTGCATTTTAGCCTACTTGCGAGTAGCAAACCATTTTCAGAACAAACATGAAATGTTTTGTTCCAATTTAGGCGATTTGGTTTATACTTGTTTGTTGTGCGCATAACATAGTAATTCTAGGCTAATAACCAGAATAAGAGCATATAATGTTTTCAAAACAAGTTATCATGGTTAGTAAAGGCTGATCTTTGATCGGGCCAGCGGGGGTGCTCATAGCTGACCTTTTCTAATCGTACCCAAGTTCCCGAGCCGAGGCAACTTTGGTGATGACGGACATGTGGCCTTTGGCACCAAGTCAGGGTTTCCTAAATTCCCCCAAAATAAAATATTTAGGTGGTGACTCTGTATCTGGCAAAGCAGTCCATGTTTGCCACTTCTTTTCTAAAAATTTGTTTTCTCAAAACGATTTGCCGGATTTGGACTCTTTGGTTCAGATTAAGAACCGTGACAATTCAAGTCTGAACTATAGCATGGGGCCCACGGACGCGTCTACACCATACCGGACACACCAGTGAGAACAAGAACAATGGTTGGACTAACTCCTGTGTGAGATCTATTGTCTCGGTTTACATAAACAGCAGAACAGTTCAAGACATCACGTTCACTGGTCAGCCAGTAAATCCGATAGGCTTTCACTACAAAAGGTTCAAGGCCAACAGCTACATTTTCTGATGCAGGGTTAGTCTATGTGCTTTCTTTCTTTCCGAGTCTTTGTTGATAAACATTGAGCGTTTGCTGTATTCGGTCAATTTTTATTCATGTGGGGGATTGTTAGAGAAAAATGGTTGAATAAGAAATTATCTCATAAATGTGTATATAACTCACACATTTAAGGCTCATCAGTTTACAAAATTGATTGGGCAGTTTTGCTAGCATTAGTTGCCAGACTTGATGGCTAGAGGCTCCTCCCCTCTCCCCCATGGTGTGTAAAAGGAGGCCCTATTCCTTGAAAAGAGATATAGAATTTTTCCTTGACATCCATACACTGTCAGTCTACTTCTCCTATAATTTTCTTCTTGAGAGAGAGTGCTGCCGTTGTCCGTTCGCTAAGCTAATCAGAAGGTGCTTCTGTTGTAGCTGGTAAAAATCGTCCTATCTTGGGAAGTAGACGCCGGCGTACCTCCAGCACCCAACAGTGAGATGGCGAATCTATTTTAAGGAGACTATGGTATCACACAGGCTTCGGTTTGCTTCCTTTAACCATTTTATATTTTATTTGTATTTTATTCAGCATGTTATTTTTCTTGGGATTGAAGGTTTGTTTTGTTTATCTCATAATTTTGCGATATGCAATGTGAAATTATGTAATGTGAGTAGTTTTTCCCAACATTTACATCATTGTACGATTACATTATTCAAATAATAACAACAGTTCGATGGATAAGAGATAATACAAAATATAAATGCCCTAAGGCAAATATCTTCTCAAGGAGTGCCCTTGCGCGCGCGCACACACACACACAAATGTAATATAGTTTCCATCACAAAAGAATAGCTTGAGGCTTCCACATAGCACATACAAAAGAGCCTCTATGCTCCTATCCAAACTACATCTCAATGTCAATCACTTAGGTAGCATGTCAACATCATCCCCTAAAAGGTTGTAAGTTTTGGGGTGAGTAATCGCCTAATAGGAAATACCATTAACAAATTATATAATTAATCAAGTTACATATGATCATGCCATGCAAGAGATATGAAAAATCTATGTTCATTTCTTTGTAAAACTATGATGCCAAACTAGGTAATGTCAATAACAAATTCTCATCCAAAACATGGGATATAAATACGCTATGGTGTCCCAATACAAGAGCGAAATACCACAAATATATATATATATATATATATATAAAATAATTCCATATTTCCATATCTGCCGACTCCAAAAATGGCGGGGCATTAGGCACCCAAGACCTTACTCTTCCACATTTATTGACTCCAGAAACAACGGACTCGTGGACACCCAAAATCATATTTTCCACATTCGTCGACTCTAAAAACGGCAGACTCATGGACACCCTAAAACCTTTCCCCATTTGCCCCACGATATGCACGAGGCAGGGCAATTGGACACCTTAATTCCCCGTGCGGGCACTAAACACAACACACAATTCAAACCAAGGCCCGACTCACAACCTGGACTCACACACTATTTACCCCCTTTGACATTTTTCCGAACATCCACAATATTGCAAAATCACATGAGAAAATTATAATACATATGATGCATGAGTTTTCAAATCTAATTTCCCTAAGGTTTGCTCAATTCACAACATCATAAGAGCAACAATGTTAAGTTTGTTGACCACCTCACAGAACACCATAATGCCGCATTGTCATTATTTAGTGATACATGAACACCATTAACAAATGTAACATTAACAGTATACAAACGTTTCCAATCATTAACAATATAGTAAGTTTCAAATAAAATGCTTCACTAACATATAAATGATACATTACCAGTATACTAATGTTTCAAATAAAATGCTACACTAACATAAAAATGATACATTTGTTCACAAACTTGACAAAATGTCATAAATCTCACATAACTACAGACGTCTACCAGAACCCCCACTTATTGTGATGATAAGCCAATGGACAAAACAATATAAACACCATGGAAATGCATAAGTCACAATGTGAACATTCATGAGTCCCATTAACATTGACAAACGAATCTCCGAACATCAAACCCACCAATAATAGATGACAGTTATGGCAAACAAAATCAAATTTTAGTCATTCATACACAAGAAATTCACGCAACCCAACCTGACATACGAACCTAATATGACATTCCAACCCATGAGTCAATGATTCCAACCCTATCATGACTAGCAAATCGAATGCCTCATTTAACAAATCAAATGCATCCCAAAAAACAGTTTAGTGTCCCATTAACATTGACGGTGTCCCATGATGCGAAATTCGATTGTCACATTAACATTGACAAACTATCTTCGAAAAATCAAACCCACCAACCACATATGACAACCATGGCATTTCTTGAATGATGAGTGTCCCATTAACATTAACATTCGATTATCAAATTAACATTGACAAACAGTTTAGTATCCCATTAACATTAACTGTATCCCACATCAATTAGGATTTATTAATACCTCACCCTAATTTTTTTAATTTGAAACATCAATACTCAATGACGATAATCAAATGTGCCCACTTTCAAACATCAAAATAAGGGAAGCAGAACTCAAAGAATGAAACCCATGACAACATCAACATCAGCAACAGTGAGGAAAAAATCCAAAAATCACATATAATACATGCATACTGTAAACATTTGGGATTTTTCTTCGCATAGACAAACCCTAGCATCAGGTTGAACACTACGCTTACACAAAAAAACATCGCTTACTGTCATATTTCATTGTCATCGTTCTAATTTCCACAACCCTAGTGATTTTGCAAACCCAATACTGTCTCGATCCGCTCCAATTCTATGTTTGTTCGTGTTTGCCCAAATCTCAAAGTGAATAATGTGGGATTTGTATCCCCAAATTTGAATGTGAAAATTAGATATTATGTGTGCATAAATTCCTCCCTTACATTTACGTTTCTATAAATTTCCTTACTAAATTTGAACGATGTCACAATGGTTAGAGAATCTTTCCATTCTGGTAGTGTGGGATTTGTTTGTTAATGAAGGAAAAACATAAAAGTCTACAGTGAGCTTGGACCAATTGTGTAATTTCACCCTATTGGAAATCCTACATTTCTCTCGCAAAAAAATTATATATGCAGGTGTAATGTTACCTTTTTGTGTAATTTTATTAAAATGAGGTCACTAGATTCATAAGAAAAAAAAAAGAGTAAATAATTCATAAGATTAACAATTAGTATTTATTGGTGCTTCACCTTTATTTTTATTATAAAAAATAAAGAATAAATTTTTTTTGAATGCAAATAAGGCTCAAAATAATAAAGAATTAGTAAAAAAACGTTCAAAAAAAGATTTAAAATAGTAAAGTTCTGATCAATTCTTATTTACCTATCAATTCGCACAGTCTGCTCAGTTCTCGTTAACTAAATGGACATATGTGAATTAAATATATATTTTTTAATTCAACTAAATTCGGATGAATGATAATTGTGAGATAATCAACTCAATCTGATTCGCGAGTAACTTTCAGTGTGTTTGGTTTTAGTTTTTTGAATTCAATTTTTTAGAAATTGAGTTTTTTATTTTTTTTGGTGAATATTTTTTAAATTTTAAGCGATTTTTTTACTTTTTTAGATTTACCTTACTTAGATGTATCTAAATTGTAAAATATTTGTAAAAAAATATTTTTAAAAACTAATAAATATACAAAAATATGTAAAATGTACTAAATTTTCGTATTTTTCTTGTATTTTTGATATTTAGTGAATTTTTTAAATATTTTTTTCATAAATATTATATTTTTTAAATTTATTTATATTATGTATGTCTAAAAATTAAAAAAATTACTGCTTAAATTATTTTAAAAAATTTATTAAAAAAAAAATACAAAAAAATAAATTTTTTTAAAAAGTATTTTTACAAGTTTAGTTTTCATATAAGGGTAAACCAGTAATTGAAAAATTTACCGTGGAATACAAGCAAATGACGTGAGCAACTTTTCCTCGGAATTGTCGCAATTAGGTATCTGGGGGCATATTGGTATTTTCGATGACTAAGTCGGCTACACAATAAAACGACAACAACACGTCACATATAAAAATAAAAAGAAAAAAAAAAACCCTAACTCTATCTCTCTCACTCTCGCTCTACAGTCTCTCTCTCTCTGCGTTTCCTAAACCCTCTCTGAGCCTGCGACGAACGAGGAGGGGGCTATTATGCCCCTGTCGTCTTCTTTCTAGGGTTTATCAAGCTTTTCGCTGTTCTGATTTGGCTTCGGTAAGTTCTTCAAACACAAAACCCTAGTTTTTTTTTTGGGTTTCTTTTTGTAAAATTCACATATTGATTTTATTATAAGTTCTGAGCTTACCATTTGCATGAGTTTTCAATTCGAAGTCTCTGTGACGGTTATGAGATTTTTGCATTCGATTGATGCCCTGATTGAGTCGCAATTTATTGCACTGTTGCGTGTGGATACGCCTTTGATTGTTGTTTTGAATTGAACTAAGAGTTTTGTTTGTATTAATCTTTAATTTGCTTGCTTCTTATTCTTCTCAAGTTCTCTCTTATTTCCTCTCTCGGTTCGTGTGTGTGTGTGTGAGACCTTGATGGTTTGGACTGTGTTGATAGTGATTTTATGAAAACAATTTTTATTGTAATCAATATTATTCCTTGTCGTGTTTAAAGAATTACTGTTGATTTGCCGCTTTTCTAGAGTTTATATTGGCAATATATACATTAGAGCTGTTCTTTGTACTTCAGTAATTGTTCACTATTCACTCCCAAGTATGTACTACGGCTTAGACCCTAGAAGTGGCTGAAAATTATTAAAGACTCCAGATTATCATGTGACATAGCCTATGTTGGCAAATGAACCGCAACACACACTAACAAAACACACACACTAAATGGGGAGTTTGATTTTGTTCATACACTATCAAAGACACAAGTTATGATTTGGTTTAGAAAACAATGGAACCCATAATTTTAGGTTAGGTCAATACACTTTTGGATATAGGGCCCACAGTTTTGAGTCAATCAATTTTTTATTTTGTTCATACACTTTTTGGAAGTGGGTTATTCTTTCTCTCAACTATTAACAAAAGTGAGTCATAAATTTTTTCACTACATGATTGGTTTGAAGCACCACCATGTAGGCATTGCCACACACTCTGGGACTGAATAATTATCCGCAAGTAAACAGAGTATTGGTTTGGATGTGACCTGTTTCCAGATTTAATTGGGGGTGTTTGGCAAAGGCTTTTTTTTTTTTAATTTTTTAGGCTAAAATTCACAAAATGACAAAATAGGCTAAAATAGTTAATAAGACAAAATATTACATCAAACCCATAATCATTTCATTTTTTCTCTCACAAACATCATATCTACTTACAAAAAAATCCAACTGTCTTCCTAAACACAAAAATTGTAGCCTATTAAAATAGTCAAAAACTAAAATAGTCTACTAAAATAGTAACTTCCCAAACACCCATATTATCGAATTTTCATAATGGTTGCTTTGATGCTAATTGTTGTGATATTTTTTTGCAGTGATTGTTGCATTTCTTTCTTTCAATAATGATGTATGCTCGTTTCTTTCAGAGCAAGACGCTAAATAGTTATTGTTTTGCCTGGTGCAGTGGTATCTAGCAGGTCGAGTTATGGTGTCTGAGAATCAATCTGAAAATCTGACCAGTGCCCCTCTTCAGTCTTTGCAGTTCCCAAATATGATTGCTAGTGAAAATATTGTAAAGAAGAAATTGAAGATCAAAATTACCTCCAAACGCATTGAAGCTAATCCTGGGATAGAATCATGTGAATTTGGCCAGCAGGTGTTCATGAATGATGAATGTCATCAGAGCATTCCTCTGAATGATAAGAAGTCTGAGATGAATAAATCACACAAGTTAGTGATTTCTTCTTCTGGTGACAGGAAATTGTATGCTGCTGATAACTTAAAGATCAAATCAGCTGCAATGGGTTCTCTCAAGCGTGGGCTACAAGGGGTGGAGGATGGTCAAAAGGAGAAGAGACGGAAAATGGATCGTAGTGTGACACAGCAGTGTTCTAGCATTCTGAAACAGTTGATGACTCATCCCTCTGGGTGGGTTTTCAATCATCCAGTTGATCCTGTGAAGCTTAACATTCCTGATTATTTCTCTGTAATCTCTGAACCCATGGATTTGGGGACAATAAAATCCAAATTGACAAACAATAGGTACTGCAGCGTTGAAGAGTTTGCAGCGGATGTCAGGCTGACCTTTTCTAATGCCATGGTGTATAATCCTCCTGCTAACGAAGTTCATCTCATGGCTAAGAAACTGAATAATATTTTTAATACAAGATGGAATAGTTTGGAGGCAAAGTGGAATCATGGGCCCATAAATGTGGAGCAGGGGCATACTTCAAATGGAAGTGCAAAGAATATGCATAATACAGGGCAGAGTGGCCATAAAACATCCCCCATGCCTGTTAGTTTGTTGCCCAAAAGCCTGTTGTCTGCTGAGGAAAGGCAGAAGTTGAGAAAACAACTTTTCGAAGTATCAAGGGCAAAGATGCCTCCACACTTGCAGGGTTTACTTAAAAAATTTGGGTTCAACTGCCAAAGAGAAGGAAGGATTGAGGTGGACATAGATGCCTTTGACGAAGAAACTTTATGGGAGTTGAAAAGAATTATACAAAGCTCATTGGGTGGTAAAGCTGCAAAAGTAAGTAATTTTTGTTTGAATAAAGATCAGATGCCCTTGTTATGCTCACATGAGCTTACATTTGATCATGATTTAGTCCAGTCTTCCACTGGTAGCAAGCTTGTCATGCTTATAATCGTATCTGATTTTGCATATATCTCTTGTTGTCACCTTATTTTTTTTTTATTTTTAATATTTTCTTAACTGGAGTTTGGGTTCTTCTGTGCTATATGTTTGATGTGCGTGTATTTTTTACACAGGCTGAGCCTGCAAAAAAGACACAAAATGGCAAGCAACAGTCAATAGGGAAGATTATCCACAAAGGTATGAAATGGCAGTAATGAGTTTCTTCTTTATGGCTCTTTATGGGAGCTAATTTGCAATGTGTCTTATAGGCACTGATAGTGGTAATAAAAGAGCTTCCGGCTCTGCCAATGTTAATCTGCCGTTGGACTTAGAGACCTCCAAATGTGGTTCATGTGGTAGTATGAGACGCCAATGCAGCCTTCAAAGTGATTATGCTCGTGCATCTTCAAGTGGTTAGTTGATTTTTCTAATGCTACTTCTCTAGTCAAGTTTCTAGTTGTCAACCGACTCATTCAAATTGTGTTTTGGTTCAGATTTGTCTTCAGAAATATCACTAGAACAAAACCATCATGATGCTTCCAAAAGGGTACATAACAATGTTCTTGTTTTTGTCATGAATTTCTATTGTTATCATTTGTCTACTGTGCAAAATTTAGTTAAAATCTTTGTATATAAATTCAGGACTGTGAGGCAAAGTCAGCATCCCAGATGAGCAAATCAGATCTGGACCCTGATGGTTTGTTTTCTGCTTTGTATTGTGTCATATTTGTCAGTTGTTAATTGATCATCTGAATATCGACATGCTTTTGGAAATGATCTGAAGGGGCTGTAAGCGTTTTAGATGAACGTATTGGTTCTAGTCCACAACTATCAATTCTAGCTACAACTGGTGGTTCTGGGGAAGGTTTGTTTGTCTACCAGAAAATCTGTATTATTGTTGTCAGCTTAGGTATTCATATTCTCTTTTCTGAAAAGGCTTTCATTTTTGTCATTTGTTCATTTGGTTTAGGTTGGACTCCGCTTATCGACATCCAACTATCACCAAAGAAGGCTCTCCGTGCTGCAATGCTAAAGAGGCGCTTTGCAGACACGATTTTGAAAGCAAAACAGAAGACACTCCTAGATCATGTAATGCCTTTTGATTTTCTGAATAATTTTGGCATGGAAAACTTTTTTCTTGTTGTAGTGCGAATTAGAAGTTTTAGAGTGGTTGAGTGTGAGATGTTTATTTATGAAGGCTGCCATTTTTCAGGGTGATAAAGCTGATCCTGTGAAAATGCAGCTGGAGAAGGAGAGACTGGAAAGGCAGCAGAATGAAGGTGATTACTTGTCTAAGTACAAGATTATATGCATTCCCTGCTATAACTTTGCCTGTGTTGTTAAGCTGTCCTTAAATTTCAATGAGTTTTGACTTGTGCCTGTTGCATTTTTGAAATTTGGGTTATGTTGTATTATCTTGTGCAAATTCGTTCTCAAAGAAATTTAAAGAAAGTGCAATAGTCTGTAAAATTCTATTTATTTCAGGCTGGACTGAACTGAACTGATAAAATGAAAATAAATTATTTGGAATGAAGCTAGAACATTTTGGTACATTATGATAAACAAAACGGAGAAATTGATGACAAAGAAAATATCATGATTTACTTCAAAATTGTAACTGTTGGATCCTTTCCTTTGTTGAATGCTAAAGACTTATATACATTAGTTTCTTTGCTTTTATTTGTCATATTTTTGAGATGATCAGAAAATTAACTGTTAGAAAGTAACCTAAGGTATTGCTGCTTGTGCAATGTGCTAAATGAAAATGAAAGTAGGGCTGTGCAACAATGTAGGTATAAGTTAACGTCAAATTTGTGGATTTCAACAGAGGGCATCACATGAAAAAAAATAGAATTTTTCTATGTTAATTGTATTAGTAATGCATTGAAGTTAGATTAATTTGAGCCATGTATAATTAGTTCTTGGCCAGATTATTGGTTGTGTTGACAATTAATATCTTATGAAACAGGATGACTTATCATTTTTCCCAAAATTGTAGGTTATTATTCTTGAGGAAATGAATAAGTTTTTTTTATTATCTGTACGTTATAATTAAACTTCTTTAACAATTCTTTGGTGAATACAACATGAAGGTTTATTTTATTCCTGTAATTCTTTAGGGAAATGAAGTAGTTGAAGTTTCTGACAAGCAATGTTCCTCTTTCAGAAAATGAATAAAACCAAGGAAAAACAATTTGCAACCACCAATCCATGTGGTCTTGACTAGTATGTTTGAAGGGGAAAAACCTTACTACCTCTATGGTCTAGGTTCAACTTCCTCCTTTGAGGTAGAATATATAATAATAACAAAACTAAAACAAATATGATATTCAACAATATAGTTTTTTCTACTTCAGATGGTGAATAGTTAGTTACTGAATGTGTGCGCGCCTGTGCATGTATGAACAAATAATTCTGTGTGTGAGAACAATATATGCATTCTTTAGTAATTCCTAATATTTTAAGGAACACAAAATTTGCCTTGGTGTTGTCTTAGAGAGAGTGATGAGAGTAAATGATATTTGTGTAGCCAGGGAATTGGTGTCGAGCATTTCCACTTCATCAACTCATATGGGTGTTCAACTGCGCATTGGCGGTTTCTGTTTTTGCTTGCATTATGTTTTACATGCTTTCTGTTTGCTGATACTCATTTTGGCATTTTTGTTGCTCAGCTGAGTTTTCAATTGATGTGAAAAGAAAACCCTTCATTTCATTAATTTTCAAATTTCAAAAGTTCTCCCGAGGTCTGTAGTCAAACCTCCAAATCATACATTTGAAATTCTGAATCAGAGGCATGGCTAGATGCACTAGTATTTGCCAATTTTCTCTGTGGATAGGGTTTGGTGTGAATTTATGATGGATGGCTCTTGCTGCTTGCTATAGTTTCTTTAAATTCTGTAGGTAAAAATTTCTGTGTTATCAATTCACTCTGGTGAGAATGATTGGACCATTGAACTTGCCAAATTCCAGGACCTTCATGGTAAACTTAACAGACTGGGGTTTCATGGGAAAACTTAAATTTAATGTTAATGTTCATTTCAAATAATGTTCTTGAATGGTACATTTCTTATTTCTACTTTCATTTTTCAGTTAAGATGACTGGTGGCTTGCCTAGTGGTTGTATGCAACTACCACACACCTGTCTTTGGCATGTTGTGCGCCCTCCCCTCTACCCTTTTAAAACAAATCTTAAAATAAAAAAAATAAAAAAGAAGTAAATAATGTAATGAAAGAAAACCCGTTTAATTTCCCTTTTTTGTAGGCTATCGTTCAAGTGCTGGGTTCATCTAATTCTCAAGTCCTAGTAACTAGATTTAGGTTAAGATGGTCTTTACAAAAATTAGAGCATTTAATGTGTAAAATAAGTTTCTTGTGCTTGTATAGTAAACTCGACTACTTACGCATACTTTGGTAGGTGCATATCCAACAAAGCATTATGGACACTACCATACCGTAACTCAGCTGTTGGGTACTTGGTGTATTTAGAAGTCCAAGTAACATAGGTTGGTGGTTATGTTTCACAGGGAAGAGGAAAATGTCGAGTGCAGAAACACCTCCCCACCCATTTCCCCTTCTCCTGTGTTTGTGTCTCTATCTGTCTGTACAGTATTTTAAGTTCATGTTATGTTTGTTGTTTGCAGAGAAAGCTAGAATAGAGGCCCAAATCAGAGCTGACGAAGCAGCTTCACGAATGAGGGCACAAGCTGAATTGAAAATGCAGCGGGAGCGAGAGAGAGAAGCTGCTCGATTAGCGTTGCAAAAGGTCTTTTTTTTTTTCGTCTTTAAATTTATTTAACACGCATGGTATTTTAGATCTGTTTGAGAGAGCCTGAATCGGAAAAGGTATTAATCCTTGATGCATCTATTCCACAATGCAGATGGAGAAAACTGTTGAGATTGATGATAACCTTGAGATATTGAAAGATCTTGAGATGCTAAGCAGGTGCTCGGTATCTTACCATCTCCGTGGAAGTGAAGGGCCTGACTTTGTGATGGGTCCAACTATGTTGGGTCACTTTGGTAATGCATTGGAACGGCTGGGTTTGTTTATGAAGGATGATTATATTATGGGAGATGAAGATGACGAGGAAGCTATCTTGAATGGAGATGGAGAGGAGGGGGAGATATTTTCATGAAGTGTAAACTCTTTTGTTTGTTCTCTCTTTCTCTCTCTTCCAACTCTGCTTGTTTGTTGGTAAACCTTTAGTGAGAGGCAGTTGATAGTTGTAAATGATAATTAATATTTACTATTTTCTCTCGGGTAGATGTAATTCTGTGATTTTTCTAAATTTTTTACTAAATAAATGACTAAATGTCCTACATGGGTGTGGGGTTTGCAAAATTGCGGATTCCATATCCATGTGAGACATTTGGTTATTTATTTGGTAGAAAATTTGGTATCCCTAGTATTACTCTTTGTATTCGGTGAACATTGGTCTATATATATATTTAATACAAGGTTAGGGGATCTTCCCATTTCAGATTGTTTCTGCCCCTCGTAAAATTTATTATATGTGAGAAATAAGGTCACTCAGCTTCAATGACATAGATTATGAAAAAACCATTTTTATTTTTATTTTTTTTCCCTTTTATGGTTTTTTGATTTGTGGACGGACAAAAAGAAGGTAAAAAGATAAATGAAATAGAATTTTAACCTTTTTTTTTCTTTTTATTGTGTGTGTATAAATTGAAGATCTATTCACATCTTTAAAAGTGAGAGGATAAAGAAAAAAGAAGGAATAATTACATTTTACCTTGGTGCTCTAAAAAAAATTACATTTTACCTCCTGTGGTTTTGTGTGTTTACACATTACTTCCATGGCGTTTACAAATGTACTTGTAGATCTCTTGTGGTCTAGAGTGATGTGTAAAAGTGACAGGACGTGACGGAGTTATTGAAAAGACTAGATAGAATACCCTTAGATATATATAGTGTTTATATGTTGGAAAATGAGCCGTAGCTCGAATATATTAGCTCGAATTGGCTTGAAAATCCTCGCCTCCCTCGCCTCTTTTCTTTCTTCTTTTTTTCTCTTTTCCTTTTCTTGTTTTTCAATACAGACGGAGGAGAAAGAGGGAGAGGAGAGTAAAAAGAGAGGAGAAGAGAAAGAGGAGGGGAAGAGAGAATGGAGAGAAGAGAGGGCCCCTGCGCTTCCGCTGTCGGCCGAGCCCCTCCGCTTCCGCCGTCGGCCGATTGTCGCAGCTCGTCGCTCGTCCCTTGTCGCAGCTTGTCCGCCGTCGCCTCCGCCTCTGCCTCTTTCTTCTTTTTCTTCCTTCTCTTATTCTTCTTCTTCTGGTTGATGTTGGCCCCTCCGCTTCTGGTTCTGCTTCACCTTCATCTTCAAAAAAACGAAAATAAATCTCCAAAATGGCGTGGTTTTGGATTCGAGCCAATTTCGAGCAACGTAGCAATTCCGTTATATGCTACCGTCTCTTCAATTGCTTGATTACGATTTTGAGAGTAAAAGAGATAGAGAGATGCTACAGTCCTTTCAATTGCTTGATTATGATTTTAAAAGTAAGAGAGAGAGAGAGATATATATACACATAGGTTAGAGTTTGAAAAGATTTTCAGATCGAATCAGTAACAATCGATTGCGAGTACAAAGAATCTGCTTTTAGAAAATTTACTCTAGGTAACGATCGTAGAACTCTAAATTTATTGAATTTTTGATGTGTTGTGTGACTATTTGAAGATTTGATTGTGATTTTCAAAATTTATTGTATAAGATGTTTAGAAAATTACTTGTTTGATATTTGATGTTTGTGAATATAAAAAAAAAAAAAAAAATGATTTATTGGTAGGGTTTTGTTTACGATGTATTTTTGTTGACTTTTTGTTAGTTTTTTGTTAAGATTGTTGTCTTTTTGTTAGTTTTTTGGTAGAGTTTGTATTGTATGTGTCGATAAAGTTGTGGGTTATAAGTGTTTCATCAATTTTTTTTTACTTAACTACATGAAGATAGGTATAACTAGAATAATAAATTGGGGTTTTTTTTATTTATTTTTTTATGTAAAAATGGCTAGAGATTTGGGGTTTTGTTGATTTTGATGCATGACTAGGATATAAATTATTTGGGTCTTTATGATTTTTGTGCATGGAGGTGTGGTTGACAATGGTCCCTAACTACTTGTTGTGTAGTGGTTTCCTAACTGTTTGTTGTGTATTTGGCTATTGTTTGTTGTGTCAAATGGGCATGATAATTTATGTTTGTTTATTAACCCTAAAGCCTAATAATAAGATTAGGTTTTTTTTTTTTTTTATTTTGTTGTTGTTGTTTTTTGTGTGTGTGTGTGTGTGTGTGTGTGTTTGTGTGTGTTGTAATGTTTAGGTATTGATTTGTTTATGTATTATTTTATTCTTTTGTGTGGTGTAATGTTCAGCCATAGATAAGAATTATTTTTGTCTTTTGTGTATTGTATTATTTAAGGTGAGGTAATGGCAATAGATTTTAGCGTTGAGTTATATCATAGGGGTTACTTTACTAAGCCTCCAAATATAGTGTACAAGGGAGGGAAAGTGCACTACTTTCAGTACTTTGATCTAGATAGGGTTGGCTTTTTTGACTTTCAGAAGTTGTACTTGAGCCTAGGTTATTCCTCTACTAGCCAACTGTATTACAGAGTTCTTGGGAAAATATTGGACATTGGTCTTAGGGAGATGAATTCAGATAGGGATGTAATTGATATGTTGTTCCATTATATCGGTCTAAATGTGGTTTCCTTCTATGTAGAGAAAAGTCATGAGGCACTTTAGGTCTTAGGTCCAAATAGGGAAGTCATAAAAGGGATACAAATGCACAAATAGAAGCACAAATAGAAGAAGATGAATGGGAAATAGGCCCGAAATAGAAGAAGATGAATGGCGAAATGAGACTACAATGGAAAAGAAGAAGAAGATGGGGGTGATAAGGAAATGAATGACTTTGATAGTGGTTCTAGCACAGATCCAGAGTGGATGAATGATGGGTTAGAAGGGAGTAAAGATGAAGATATACTTGCTTATGTTGATAAAAATGTGGCGGTAGAATCAAATGTGGGTGTTGAGACAAACTTGGGGCTTGAATCAAATTTATGAAATGAACCAAATGATGGGGGTTCTAATGAATGGTATTCAGATCACGATTTTGAGATGCATATTGTGCATGGATCATTAGATGACAAGGAAAGGGTTGATAGGTTTCTAGAATTTAATGAGGATGTGGATATGGTGAACCTTGACCTAAAAGTGGGAATGAGATTTAAGAATGCACAAGTTTTTAGGAATGCATTGAAGGAATGGCAAGTGCAACAGGGATGTGATTTGAAGTGTGGTAAAAATGAAAATAAGAGGATTATTGCAGTGTGCAAACAAGAGTGTGATTTTATAATTCATGCATCCCCAATGCAAAACGAAAGCATTCATGCGGTAGGACTTATGATAACCATCTAGTTAACTCAAGGTACTTATCACAAAAATACCTTGAAAGATTGAGGAATTCTCCTAATATAGATATCTCAGCCATGCAAAAGGACATTCATAGAGAACTAATGGTTGATCTAAGTAAGATTCAAGTGTATAAAGCAAAAAGGAAAGCAAAGGAAACAAATGAAGGGGATCTGAGGAAGCAGTAAGCTAGACTTTGGGACTATTGTGAGAGAGTGAAATATCATAATCCAAACAGTTGTTTAGTGATCAAATTGGACAAACCTATTGTTGAAGAAGATAATGATCAAGTAGAGAGGCCTAATAGACAACTTACACCTATTTTTAAGAGGTTGTATGTCAGACTAGATGCACAAAAGCCAGGTTTTTTCCAAGGTTGTAGGCCTGTTGTTGGGTTAGATGGTTATTTTTTGAAGGGCATATATGCGACCCAGCTTTTAGCAGCCATTGGCCTTGATGGGAATGACAACATGTTTCTCATTGCCATTGTTGCAGTAGAGGTCGAATGCAAGGATTCATGGAGATGGTTTCTGACCCAATTAATAGAGGACATAGGAGATGGCACTGACATTGGGTGGGCATTCATTTTAGACAGAAAAAAAAGATTGGTGCACACATTTAATCAAGTTTTGCCTAATGTTGAGCATAGGTCTTGCTTGAGGCACTTCTACACCAACTTCAAACAGAAGTTCAAGGGAAAAGAGTTAAAGGAATTGATGTGGAAAGCTGTATATGCTGGGACAAAAAGGGAGTTTGATTATCATATGAAGAAGTTGAGGGAATTGGACACAGAAAACAAGCCAAATAAGTGGTTAATGCAAGAAAATCCTGAAACATGGGCTAGGTCTTACTTTAGCACAAGATCCAACTGTGATATTCAAGTGAATAATTTGACTGAGTCATTCAATCAGTACATTTTTTCAATAAGGGACAATCATCTCAATGTGGTGTGGATTAAGAGGAAACTGATGAATAGAATACAAGTGAAGAAAAATGGAATGGAAAATATGGTGGCCCTATTTGTCTAACTGTGCAGCAGAAACTAGAGTCAAAGAAAAAGGATGCTAGGAATTGCTTTGCTAGCATTCCAGGTGACTTAAAGTTTAAGGTGGATTGTTATGACACAACTCATGTAATGGATTTGAGAACAAGAACATGTGGGTGTAGGGATTGGGACCTAATAGGTATACCTTGTAAACATGCCATAAGTTGTATATACCTTAATAAGGAGAAACCTGAAGCTTATGTGCATAATTATTTCAATAAGGAGACATACTTGAGAACATATTCTTTCATGACAAATCTTGTGCCAGGGAAACATGATTGGATTGAGACTGGATATGATGCCATAGCCCCTCCTTACTGTAGAAAACCAGTAGGGAGACCCGGAAAAAAGAGGAAGAAAGTTGCTGATGAGCCTAAGAATGTAAATAAGGTGTCAAGGAAAAACAAAACAATGCAATGTGCAAAGTGTAGGGGTTTTGGACACAACAAAAGATCATGCAAAGGTCCAGTACATAAAAAATTCTAAATATTCAAGAGAAGAGGTGGACCAACCAGCAATTCTAGAAAAGTTACAACTCAACCAAGTAAGGTACATTTCAATTTATTGTAATGCACTATTTCTATACAAACTAAATTCATTTCAATTTCAGTTATTTCATTTTGTGTATTTCAATTTGTATTTTCATTGTTGTTCTCAAATGCTTCATCTCAACAAGCTACAACACACCCATCTTCATCCTAACCAGTTGCCACTTATTCACTTTCATCCCAAGAGGCTACCAGTACTCACCCATCTTCATCCCAACTAGTTGCCACTACTCAAACACAACCAACAATGCCTTGTGGAGCAAGTGCAAGTGGAAGTGCATAAGTTAGAGGTGTTGGTAGTTCTGCATCAGGTAGACATGTGGCCCAATCTGGAAGGGGATTTGTAGCACCTAGGAGGAATGCAAAGGATAGAGGAAAGGGTTTGATGGATTAGGTTTAGGTATCAATGTCTGATTATTGCAAAGTTGTTTTTTGTCATTTTTGTAAGGCCTGTTATTTGGGGTTGCTAAAACAATCTTTTTGGATAGCTAACACAATATTGGTAGTTCTAAGGGTTTTGTAATTAAAATGTTGCTTTTGCTAATATTTGTAAGGCTTACTTGGTTGGTAGAACAATATTTTTGGATAGCTACAACATTAGAACAAATAGGTGCACATGTTGTTTGTCAAATGTTTTGTAATTGAAATGGTGAACATTAAACAGGTTTTGTAATGCAAATGTTGAAATGTTGGTGAATAGGTTAGGTTTTGTGAGTGAAATGTTGATATGTTGATGCTTAATTAACGTGCTTCAGGTGTTGGTATTGAACAGGTTTTGTAACATTTCAAAAATATATTTAATTTATATCTCAAAATAGTCTTCAATATTACATATTTTCATTCCTCATATCAGGTTACATAACACTTTTTTTTTTTTTTTTCTCTCTTTCTCTCTCTCTCTTTTCATTTTAGAGTACATGCAATATAGCATACAAACAGTATCCAACTTCCTAGCAACATTCTTCGATACAACTTTTCCTTTTTTTGAGTTTTTTCAACTTCAAACTCCATATGATTTACTCGTTGCACGAGTCTTGGTAGTAGATCACACGAGCGGCAGCACAATGGTGGGTCAATCCACTCAAAATATTCACAAGTGACATGAATCTGAAAATTTAAATAAGTTTAGATTTTTATTTTAATATTATATAACATAACAAATAAATACATTAATTACTTAATTACCAAATAATGAAAGTGATTACCCCATAGTTTGCATATCGTATAAATCTTCTTTCTATATTTGCATTTGTCCAAGCTGTTCTCACCGGAGGCGTTTGGCCATAGTAGCATGTACGAGCTAAGCTGGGAGGATGACATCTTCAAAAATGTAAGTGGTCCCAGAATTTTTTGGTTGGAAATAGTTGGTTTGGTGGCTTCATGGTTATATAAGCAAGTGGTAGGGCAAATTGGTCACTCAAAACTCCAAATTTGGTGCCAAAACATTCAATTCTAGTGTAGACACGCTTCTCTAGCGCGTCTGCTCCACGTGCTATTAAGTCTACCAGATCCCGTTACTTTTGCACATCATTCAAAACCACAAGGAGTTTATTAGTATATTTATAAACATTAGGGAGGTAATGTGTAAATGCGCGAGACCACATAAAGATAAAATGTAATTATCCCAAAAAAAAGAAGACAAATTCTCCACCTGAAAAATCCCTCAAACTGTGACATCAACTTTTAAATATTCAAGCACGAACACCAGCGTTGTCTGTGGTGCAACGACATGCTCAGCCTTTAAGCTAGATTGTTTAAATTTGATTCCTTTAAACACCTAGTGAACTTAAAAAATGAATTTTAATTAAGTTTAAATAATTTAATAACGTTATGCTACAAGTTTATCTTGAATTGAATTCGAATCAGACTTATTTATGTAATATGCTAATTTAAAACAAGTCAAGCTCAACAAACTTCATTTGTATACACCTGCATTCATCCTGATAAACTTCCATGCAACCAGGTTGTAATATTTTGAGAAAACAAAGGTTTCTATCTCTGAATAATATTTCTTAAAATTTTACTTTAAAAAAATACATTTCTTATTCTAGTTTCAGTTTTTCAACTAATTTCTCCTATAATACTTCGTATTCTCTCTCTATTTCATTTTAAAATTATTTTTTTATTATTCCTTTTCAATTATTATTATTAATATTTTTTTAAAATTGCAATAGAGTAGGAAAAGGAGAGCGGAGAGAATAGCATTATATTTTTAAGGAATGAATAGTGAATCAACACATAGGAAATCAATATATAGGAATGAATCACACAAATAATGATTCCCCTATACATTAGTCACTAATTTTAAGGGATTAATATAGACCCAAAATTCAATGGTGTCTATTTATGGATGGACAAATTCAGATGAAAGTACTAAGACCCCGTTTATTTTCAGAAGTAAAATGATAGTGAAGAGATTAATAGTGAGGAAATTAGGTAAAATTATTTTTGTTTTGATGATAGGTGTTAGTGTAGGGATTGTTAAATTATTTTATATAAAATAAATATAAAATAATGAAACAAATAAAAAAATAAAAAAGCATTAAACAATAATGTTAAAAAAAAAAAAGCCCAACATGTAAAAAATTAAAAAATTTCTAGAAAAAAATAAAACAAATAAAACAATGATTTTTTACTTAACAAAAAATACAAAAATTAAACATTAATGTTCCAAAAAAAAAAAAATGCCCAATATGTAAAAAATAAAAAATTTTTAGTCCGACAGACTATTTTTCTAATATCATCTCCACCCCCTCCATCCCAATCTCCCTTCCCCCAACCTAATCCACAAATAAACACAACGTTAAATGAGTCACACCTCTATCCTAATCCCATCCCTCCCTCTATATCCTAAAACAAACAGGGCCTAGGGGTAGCCTGAAACTACAATAGGCAATGCCAACTTCAGAAATCACAAATCCTTCTACTAAGAGTGTTAGGCCCCATTTGTTTTGGATTGTAGAAGCAGAAATGGGATTAGGATAGACGTTGGGTCTATTTAATGCCCCCGTTTGTTTGTAGATTTGAACAACGGATTGATAAACCGAACGGCTTAGGATAGGCCTTGCTAATAGGTTTCATAGTCTCCTCCACCACTTGGTATATTAGTCCGTTGGTATTAGGAAGTGATTTTACTTGTTTATCCTCTTCTCTTCTCTCCCCCTTTGTGTTCTCTTGTCATATATATATATATATATATGCATATATATGTATATTTCATTCAGTTTTCTCATCAACCAAATAGGAGTGTAGACAAATTACAAATTAGATCAGTAAAATTGAATAGTGATGCTCCGATCTTCGACTAAATCAAGCAAAAGAGATACACATCAAAAGACAACATGGGTGAACTCACAGAGTAGTGATGCTCCAATCGCCATTAACTCCGATTAGACAGAGAAGTGATGCTTTGATCGCCATTGACTCCGATAAGACAGAAGACTGATGCTCTGACTGCCATTAACTCTCTCTCTCTCTTGGCCTTACCTGGGTGAACTCACGGAGGCCTTACTTGGGTGAACTCACAGAGGCAACACGTTTTGATAAATTAATAATGCTTTGAATGGTCAAAACCATGGGCTGATTTTTTGAGAAACCAGTGGTTGGTTTCTTTAATAATAATAATAAAAATAAAAATAAAATAGAAATAGATTAATTATATGATTTTAATTATAATAATAAAAATGGTTTCTTTAATAATAATAATAATAATAATAAATAGATTAATAGTTGAATTTTTTATTATTTTTAATTATATGATTTTAATTATAATTTTTGAATAGTTTAATTGGGTAATGCATTTATTGGTTGGTATAAGCTTAAATTTAATACTAATACAATAAGGGTATTTTTGTAATTTTACATGATTAATCCCATTCTTATCTCTCAAAATAAACATGAACTATTACTAGGCCACTGATTATCAAACAAATATATTTTTCTTAATTCTCTTGCTAACAGTCTCTTCACTATGAATCCCTTCTATTTTACCTCTAAAAACAAACGGGACCTTAGTGTACATCATATCGTGGCTTAGCTAGTCCTCTCTGTTTATCCTGCCTGTTACTGACCTAATAATTTTAAACAAGCTACAAAATCAGCCATATGCCGGCCTCCCCGTGAGAGCAAGCTCCATTTGATTACTGTGTTATGCAGTAGCAGGAGAATTGCGCAAATGATAAGAAGCTGGCACTCTGGAAAAATGTACTAGCATATAGCATATACACAGATACTAGATTTTCAAGGAACTTAAAAAAAAAAAAAAAAAAAAAAATGCAGAAAACAAAATAAAGTCGGTAATCCATCCAAAATCTTGCAAAGCAAGCCACGGCAACAAAGTAGCCATTGGTTGCTCAAAAACCATAACAAGCATGCATGTGGCCATGGGCTGGATCCTTGGATGTCTCGCATCTACTTGGTCCTCCAGATAATGTGCAGCTCATACTGTGTAGCGGTTCTTGGCACCCAAGTAAAGCTTCTTTGCGTCCTCCTGATGCAGAGAAACAAATAAAATAAAATTAGTTATTATCTTTAAAACTTTTGATGAATCAAGAAATAGTTCGTGAAAATATAATATCAAATACACAGCCTGTATCACACGGAAACAATGAATAGCCTTACATGAAATATGAACCCTATAGTGTCATTGTAATCAAGAAACTGCTTCCATTGCCTCCCAATGCTTATCTGAAACCAAAAAAGAAAAAAAGAAAAAAAAAAAAAGATGTTAGATAAGACATGCTGTTAAGTTGTGAAATCACATTCAAAAGCAATCATAATTTGCGTATGAGTGTGCACAAGAGAGAGCATCTGAAGAAATGTCTTGTACCCATAATGTTGGGTTGGTAATCAATCCTGCTCATCAGTGTCTCTCATGCATCGATCAGTCATTTGTCTGTAATCACTTGAAATTTAATGAATGCCTACTTATTTCCTATATTTACTAATTATCCTCTTTTAGAATGTCCAAAATCTAACAGAAAAACACACACACACACACACACGCACACACACATAGATCCTCTACATGCCATGCGATCAAAATACTCTTCCAGCCAGTCCCTTTTCACTTTTCAGATACTGCAATTTTATCGTCCTAGTGTTTGCTATGAAGAACATCAAATCCTCAGTATAATTGCCAACACTGAACACTCTGTCCCATCAAGCAGAGGCCAATCTAAAATACTGTTCTCATAACCGTCATTGAAATTTTACAGAAGCGTCAAGCTCCTAAAACACAAGAGCACTCCAACCATCAAAGTCAACTTTTACGGAAAATATCCTCCTTGCAAATCATCTAAAAGGTAATGAAGGATTCACTTCTTTATTATTAGTCACATTTCATGTAATGAAGGTGAAGGATTCACCTCTTCATCATTAGTCATATTTCATATAATTTAGTTTCATCAAAGCTTATTCAAAATCCTGTAAATATTTTGTATCCCTCCACATCAATATCTTTGTATTTGTTCCTTCTTCAGATAAAATGATCAAATCCACAACTTTCTGCATACAACATCCACCAAGTCACCTAAAATCCACAACAATGATGCACAAAAAAAAGGTCAGTCATTGAGAAAATAAGTTTCCATACACCTCCAATTCAAATGGAAGAAATTTCATAATAATTATTTCATAGAACTGACTGACCAACCCAATTAAAATATTTATGGGTAAATTTCACTTTTCACCCTCTAACTTGCACCTGAATTTCACTTTGATTGCATCACCCCAACATTTAAAATTTGAGTGGAAGTGGGAGGGTGAAAAGTGTAATTTGCTACAAACTGTTTTTCCTCTAAACCAAACCAAACTAGGGGATAATTCTATTTCCACATATCATTTACTCTCTGTGCACACAGTTAATGAATTAAATTTTTATTATATTTTTACCATTAAACAAAATGACAACTATAGACGTCAATAGACAACAAATCTTAATATCACTGGCTGTTGGACTATCATTGTCCAGCCTTCAGTTATAAATTCCACGAGGAATTTGGTTTTCAAATATACGAATTCCTCTAAGGTCTGGGTCTACAATTGGTGCAGAAGTAGAATACTATGATAGATGGATTCTAAAGGATCTGGAATAGAGTGTTGAATTGGAACACTCCTAATTTCACATTCAATAGGTCAGCACTCATTCTACATGTGCTTATCGTGATGCCAGTGTCAAAAGTATAACACTAAGACTATACAGTTTATAGCCTTTAAAATTAAAAGTTCCCAAAACATAAGTATATTTTCGCTTTCCTTGGCTAGGGGCAAAAATTACTTTATCCTGTTTTGTTTGATAATGATAGATTTTGAAACATTTTTTGTTCTTCAAATCTATGATGTGTTCCTGGCATGATAGGAACTCACACTGTCTTAATATCAATAGGTTCTGTTTGAGAACTACCGTTATTAATAACGTGTGAAATTTTTAGTTTATTGAATTTTTTCCAATTAGCTAATAAATTGTGCTGACTGTTTTAATTTGTTATTTGTTTTATACAGATTACTACCAGATGCCTATATTTTAACATTGCTAACAGATTTTCTTGTTTTTTCTTCTGTCAGTTCAGAAATTAACCATTTTCTTGGAATTTCTAAATTTGACCAATTTATAAGCTTTGGTTGAATTGTTGTCTCATATGGTTTTGGTTCCCACATGTCAACTATTTTTGTATCAATTGGTTTAATTGATGTTTCAAGTAGCCATGTTAATTCATGGATAGTTTTCCATTGAATTGCGAGATCATAGGAATCTTTTTTCATTCCTATATTTTGTGTTTTTAGACGAATCCTAACATCTATATTCAGATCATCTATTGACACAAAGAAATTTGGTTTTATATTAAACCATACTATTCCATTTACTAAATTAGATTGTACTCCTCCAATAATGATTCTTATTGAATCATGAAATCTTTTATCTAGTAAGACTGCTAAGATGGGTGTATCAATACCTTGTCTAAACAAAGTAGTGATTTTTACTTGATTTAATCCTATATGAATATATCTTAATTCAAGATTATTCTTTTTCCATCTAGCAATTTTCTTTTTGTCGAATACGGTTATATCAACATTTCTTTCATCTGTAAATTGAGCTATGATGTATTCAGCATGTTACTCAAATATTCTTACTGACCAAGGTTTGAATTTTGAAATTTTATAAATTTCTTCCTTTCGAATTCCTTGAGGTTTTTCATATCTGGGCAATTGTTGAGAGGTTCTGCCTTTTCCAGAGTCTTGATTAGATATCCACTGGTAAAATCAAATGTCTAAATTTTGTAAATTGTTTCCAGTTTGACATTAGGAATTGTCCATTTGTTCAGCTTCTTTTTATTTTCCTGAAAAGCTACCAATTCAGATGCAGATACAAGTTCAGATGTATTAGATGCAAGCATGCATTCTTCTATCTCCATATTCTGCTAATGATCATATATGTATAATCTATAAAGATTACAATATTGATATATGAACTGATAAACGTGGCTTTGATACCAACTAGCTGTGCAAAACGGACTGAAGATAAGCACGTCTGTCAACGACTTATTGGGAAATGCCAAAGAGCAATTTAATGCAAAAATGGCTGCAACCCCATACATGGCTTGAGTGCCGTTCCACTTACCTTGAATCAATTCAATCCCTACTTAGCACAAATCCAGGAATATCTTTTCATATATGATTATTGTAATTAATACAAATTAGTACATATATGATCCCATATACAAATTATACAAATGGAAGATGATTTAAAAAAGTTGAAAATAATGTCGGGTGCACTTGTGAGCCCCATCGTTAATTGCATTATTGATCTAACTTTTGGCAATTCAATTAGTAATGACAAAACATATCCCCTCAGTTTTTCTTTGTTTTTGGCAAAGTAGTGATTGAAGGGGAATAAAACAAAAACTTTACATAAAGAGAGATTCCACTTTTTATGTCAGATGTAAGCCTAAGCTGGCCTTTGTCCTGATGCGTCGGCTATATAGACAACTAGCTAAATGGATACAGAAGCATCATCGCTGTGGGAACAATATTAGTATAGTATATATTATGTGAATATTGTTTTCTATTTAGGATTAGTTTAGGTTTATTCTTGTTTCCTATTTAGGATTAGTGTTCTATATCTATTAGAATTCTATATCAGTGATGTATTCGTTTAGGATTAGGATTTAATATTCTATATAAGTGATGTATTCTTTGTTCAGTAAATACAATTGAATATACAGAAATTCTTTAGAATTCTTACATGGTATCAGAGCTATGTTCGAAACCTTAACCTCTTATTTTTGGTTCGTCATTTCCCTCTTTGGTTCATGATCGATCGAAGCTCCTTACTTCGTGGGTCGTATGGTTCTCTCTTCTTTCTAGTCGGTCTCCTTATGAGGCTTTGTTCTTCCAAATTCCTAACTACTCCCTTGTTCGTGTGCTTGGATCTGCCTGTTTTGTCCTTCTTCCCCGCAAAGAAAGGACCAAACTTAGTACCCGGTCTGTCCTCTGTGTCTTTTGGGGTTATAGTCCTACTCAGAAAGGTTATCGATGCTACGACCTTGTTTCCCGTCGTCTTTATGTCTCCCGTCATGTTTCTTTTCTCGAATGTCTACGTTACTTTCAGTTTCCTCCTCTCACCGCCCCAGTTTTCAAAGAGGATTTGGTTTATATTGATCTGTTTCCTTCTGAAGTCCCGTCCGATGAGTATATCTCCACAGTTCCTCCTGAGCTTGTTCCATCTTCTCCTCCTGCTTCACCTCTAGCTGCTACCCCTCTTTCAATTTATTCTTATCCTCCATTGTTAGTTTATTCTCGTCGCAAGGCTCCTCTGCCACCAGTTGTCTCTACTCCTGCTGCTGATCCTGCTGCTTCTGACGACTCTGATCCTGCTGCACACCGATATCCTACTCGAGCACGTCATCCTTCAAATAGGTTGGGTTGGTCTAATACCTGTTTTTCTGCTTCCTATCATACTTTTTTGTCTGCAATTCACTCTTTTTCAGAACCTCAGTCTGACAAGGAGGCCTGTTAGGATCCTCATTGGGTTCAAGCTATAGAGGATAAGTTGTCTGCTTTACAGAAAACTAGTACTTGGGAGTTGGTTCTTTTACCTGCTGGTAAGAATCTGGTTGGTTGCAAATGGATTTACAAAGTCAAAACTCATTCTGATGGTTCTCTTGAGCGCTACAAAGCTCGTCTGGCTGCCAAAGGTTTCTCACAGGAGTATGGTATTGATTATGAGGAGACCTTTGCTCCTATTGCCAAGATGACTATTGTCTGTACTTTGATCTCTGTCGCTGCTATTCGTTCTTGGCCTCTTTTATCAGATAGATGTTAAGAATGCTTTTCTTAATGGTCATCTCATTGAGGAGGTTTACATGCGTCTTCCTCCTGGCCTTCACCATTCCTCTAGATAGGTTTGTCGTCTTCGGCGTACTTTGTATGGTCTGAAGCAATTTTGTGTTTGGTATGATCGCTTTCAAACTGTTGTTACTGAGCTTGGGTTTCATTATTGTGTCCAGGACTTTGCTTTATTTCTTCTCCATACCTCTGCTGGATTTGTTGCGTTATTACTGTATGTGGATGATATGATCATCACTGGTTCTGACTCTTCTGCTATATCTGAGGTCAAGCAGCGTCTTTTCTGCACCTTTGAAATGAAGGATCTGGGCTCATTGCGGTATTTTCTTGGTATTGAGGTA